TGAAATAAGCCAGTCAGAGAAAGACAAATACCATATGATTTCACTCCTATGTGGAATTTAAGAAACAAAATAAACAAACAAAACAAACAAAGAAAAAGAGAAACCAAGAAACAGACTCTACACTATACAGAGCGAACTGATGGTTGCCAGAGGGGAGGTGGGTGGGGATATGGGTGAAATGAGTGAAGGGGACTAAGAGTACATTTATCCAGCTCCTGGGTGGCTCAGTCAGTTAAAAGTCTGACTTCTGCTCAGGTCATGATCTTGCGGTTTAGGAGTCTGAGTCCCCATTGGGCTCTCTAGGCTGTCAGCACACAGCCCACTTCAGATCCTCTGTCCCCCGCTCTCTCTGCCCTCCCCACCTCCAAAGCTGGCATATGCACACGCACTCACTCTTTCTCAAAAAAAAAAAAAATTAAAAAAAAAAAGTATGCTTATCATGATGAGCCCTAAGTAATATATAGAACTGTTCAATTGCCATACTGTATACCCAAAACTAATATAACACCGTATGTTAACTATACTAGAATTAAAAATGTTTTTTAATTGTTAAGAATTTCAAGATGACAGCAGAGCACTATACCAGGATGAAGCCCTACTGAGCATGGAGCCCCAAGTATAAAGTGTGTCACAGAAGCCATTTAGTGGGCATCCTGATGACAATATGGCAATTGGGGCAGCAAGAGACACAAATGGACAAAGTGCATGTTATCTCATTTGTTCACGTGCCTGTTCCATTGTCTCATCAGACTTCACTTACAAGTCACAAGTGCAAAAATAAATTATTAAGCACTTCAAGATGGCAAAAGCAGAGCATTACACCGAGTGCAAGGCCTTTCTGAGCATAGGTCGCGTGTTCATGAAGCAGCCCTGCTCTCACTTTCCAATTCATACCCTCTGGCCTCAAGCAATAAAAATTTTTTAAAAATCTCTAACCCTTTTTTCTTCTTCTCTTTAATCTTCTCCAATGACTGTCAAACATATTCATAAATACCCCAACCGCAATTAGTTTTATCATCTTTTCAATTCAAACAAGCAAACAACTGGATCCACAACTTATATTACCTGTTATTGTTTCCTATATTAAACATCTACCATGGTTTAAACCCTTTGGGTACTTAATCCTTCCAAGTAAAGAAGCTTATAAAATCACCTCTGTAAGAGGCAGTTGCCCTTCCAGTTTTCTTCCTTCGACTAAACAAACAATGCTTAAGATTTTCCACTTTGGGCTGTAGCAGTACATAGTGCTGTATTCTATTCTAGACTTCTTCAGCCTAGAATGTACCCATTTTGTATTCTTTCAGAGGAGGGTTGAAAGGCAACATCCCCTACCATATTAGGTACTTTCTTCCATGGACTACTCTACTGCATGTATCTCCAGTCCATTCTTTTTTTTAATTTTTTTTTTTTAACGTTTATTTATTTTTGAGACAGAGACAGAGCATGAACGGGGGAGGGGCAGAGAGAGAGGGAGACACAGAATCGGAAGCAGGCTCCAGGCTCCGAGCCATCAGCCCAGAGCCTGACGCGGGGCTCGAACTCCCGGACCGCGAGATCGTGACCTGAGCTGAAGTTGGACGCTTGCGACTGAGCCACCCAGGCGCCCCTAGTCCATTCTTATCTCAAGTCACATATTAACTCATAATCCATTAGAATATGTGTTCCATTAGAATAACAATTCTCAACCAGGAATTACCAGAAAGCCGTAGGGTGGATGAAGGGAGTCATCAGAAAAGGCCCCCATGTTGTGAGTCCTAGGATTTTTCTGAAAAGAAAACTAGAGCTTTAATAGATGTACAAATGGGTCTATGATCCTCCACACCTCAAAAATTTTAAGAATCACCTCACTGGATTCTCTTACTTGATAAAACTTCAAAGTATGAGATTGGTCAGTATAATCTGGCATCATTCAGCATCTAACCCTGTTTTCCAAAGTTCTGGCACCTCTAGGAAATTATAATTTTATAAACAGAACTAGACACTTTGATTCACTTTTGTATTTTTAGGATGCAATTAAACATACATTTCTAGCACTTAAAAGATTTGTCAAATATATTTGGATTATAATTTAACCCATAGTACTTCACACAATTCATGATTTTATTTTTTTATTTTTATTTTTTGTTTTTTAACATTTATTTATTTTGAGACAGAGAGAGACAGAGCATGAATGGGGAGGGTCAGAGAGAGAGGGAGACACAGAATCAGAAACAGGCTCCAGGCTCTGAGCGGTGAGCACAGAGGCCGACGCGGGGCTCGAACTCAGGGACCGGGAGATCGTGACCGGAGCCGAAGTCAGACGCTTAACCGACTGAGCCACCCAGGCGCCCCCACAATTCATGATTTTAAATAAAGACAAATTAAATCACATCTGAATTTCTAAACCTAAATATATTAGATAGTGGCACTGGGAATCGTTCCAAAATTCCTGGAAAGCATGTCATTCTCTTGAAATAAACTTAGCATAAAAGGTGGCAAAGAGGTCCTTACAAGGCGTGTCTGAATCTGACTTGGTCAACGGTATTTGGCAAAGTTGGCAAAAACCTAGGAGAATGCAACAACAAATTCTGTGAAAGGCCCATGAATCTGGAACATAAGCAGTAGAGGACAATTGATGAAGGTACTGTTGCAGCAACTGGAATCATCAACACTGATACCACATGAACAAAGCACGTAATACACATCTGAAAAGGAGTCATTCCAATTTTTTGCAGAGCAAAAATCTCCACTATTAATAAACTGATGACACCAACAGAGATAAGCAGAATCCAAGAGGAATCCAGTGCAGGGAGGTCAGGAAACCACAGGACCCCACTAGCAGGTAACTGTTCCTGAATAGAAAAACCTACATCTGAATGTGTTGCCCCTGTGCTAAAATTCCAAAGAGCAACAGACATGAAGATCCACATTGGAAACCGAATCCAGACCAACACAGAGGCTTTGAGAGGGTGGCAGTTATCCCGAACATATAGCTCTTGAAACAAGCCCCCCCGTATTCTTTAGGTAAGTTGGCCTGGCAACTCTTTTGGACCACCTCAACTGATCTGCACTAACTGCACCTTCTTGGTTGAGATGCCTTGCAATGCTTTTTATTTCTGGCTGCAAATTTTCCACCTTGGCCAGGAAGTAGTGCCAGTTACGGTGCGGTAGTAGGGGCGGGGGAGAGGGGGTCTAGACCACGCCCAGCAGGACCTCGGTGGTTAGGACAACACGGGACCACTAGGGCAGACCTGTGGCAGTGTGCGTGCGGAGTAGCACCTGCTCTGCGTCTGTACCAGTGCTGATGTGGCCAGGTCCTCGCCCCAGCTGCCAGGGCCGTGGCCACTGCCGGAGCCAACTGCCAAGACTCACGCCGCCAACCCACACCCGCAGAGCAGAGTGATTAATGGCACCGTGGAGGTTGGCGCAAGAGGCAGGCCCCTGGCCCCAAGTTGCAGTGCAGCCACCTACCGCCAAAGCCGGCAAAACATGTCTGGGTTGACCTTTCTTCTTGATGCTTCTGCACCTGTAAGCCACACTGCCCAGAGTAGAAAACTAAGGACTAGTGGAGGTGATGTGGCTCATAACACCTGGAGACCAAGTTGTTGGCTAAAGACAGATATTCTCATCTCTTCCACTCAAGCCAGAAAGGCGTGAGGTGAGGGTTAGACAAGGGAAGGAGGTAAATGTTCTGTAAAAAAAAAAAAAAAAAAAAAAAAATTCTTTATGATGAGTTGAATATCTAAATTGAAAACAATTGCTTAGGTTTCATTTACTTATTCTTTTATTGTCCCAATGTTTACTAACTGCAAATTGCTAATTAGAGGCTGAATATTCAACTATAAGCAGGCATGTATAGTTCTACCCTTATGCAAGTTGAATAAATAGGCAATGAGTGACAAGTCAACGCCACAAGGGGTACCAAAGGAAAAGTGCATGCGTAGCACTAAGGATGTACAAATCGGACTATTAAGGAGGCTTTGGGAACAGATAAGGCTTTCTGGAAGAATTCACCTCTACAATGACCTGCAGCATGAGTAAGACTAACTGGTCTCAGAGAGAAGAAAGACTGTTCTTGACCAACAAAACAGCATGGGCAAAAGCAGCAAGATGAATTACAAGGAAAATGAAAGAAAATTCAGAAGAGGTGGAACATAGAACCATGGGGTTCTTCAATGACCAAATACCTTTAGGAGTTTGAACTCTATCTTAAATGCAGTGAGGAGCTATTTAAGAGTTTCATATTCAATCATATTTGCTTTGTCAAACCATCATTCTATGAATAACATAAGGGAGTGGAGTCCGCGATCAGAGTAGGTACTGGTACAGTTCACAGTTAAGATTAGGTATTTGGCTGGATTGGGGTATGGAAAATAGTGGGGTTTGGACGTGAAAAATACCTAAAAGGTAGAATTGACAGGACTCAGTGATTGACGGGACGTGGAAAGGCTAAGGGAGAATAAAATATCAATAAAGAAAATTTCCCAGACTTCTGGATCAGTAGCTTTACGTGTGCTAGTGCCATTTCCCGAGAGTTAAAGCGCCAGAGGTAGCCAGACAAAGAACCTGGGGCTGAATATTTCAGATATCTGCAACTTCCCTAATCCTGTTCATCCAAAATTTGTTTCCCATTTTGGTTTAATGTTCCCTACAAGATGCCTCTGTGCAGCCGGCCGACCGCTTCGGCGGGCAGACAATCAAGGAAATTCTTCTCACAAGAGGGAGCCCTCGAGTGCAATCCCAAAGACGGGAAACTGTAAGACTAAAGAAACAGGAAGCTTTTGAACGCCCTAAAATACCCACCCTTAGAGATATCGCAGCCGATCCAACCCAAAAAGCCAATGACTCCGGGCAGAAACGTACCGACAGGTCAAGGCGCTCCCTAATGACTCCGCCCCCTCGGGAGGGGGCACGGTAGATACCCGGATGTGGATGCTCGGAGTGAGTCACGTGACGCAGCCCGGTGAGGCGGGACTCCTGGCAGCGCAGTCGCCTCACGTGACCTCCTGCCAGCCAGCCAATGGGTGAGCGCGGCGGCGAATTTCGAATGTGGTGGCGTTAGCAGGCGGGCGACTGGGGACGGGGCCTAGACCTGGAGGGGCCGAAGCACAGGCTACGCCGGCCAGACAGCTTCGCGAAACCTTGGAATGTAAGAAGGAGGGCGACAGCTGCGGCAGAAGTGGTGGCCAAGGTACTGTTTCGGACGTACCTGTGGGAGGAAGATCTCCCGGCCCTCTTCCGGCAACACCCCCCGCCCCCGACTTTCCCCGAGCCCCTCCGTGAAAGAGAAAGCCGCGGGGTTTCCAGGTGTGGAACTGGGGTGTCGTGGTCCCTGTTCGTCTGCCCTCAGGGGTCTCTCTGTCGTTCTAAGTTCGGTGGCCCAAAGCTCGGGCTGTGGAGTCGGTTTGACCCCGACACTTTCTCTGTTCGTCCACTCGACTTGCGCTTCCTGAGGCTCCATTTTCCTCTTGTTAAGTAAAGGGGACACGAACCTCCTGCCTTGCAGAATTTTGTAGATTCCGTGATCTGTAAAAGCATTAGTAGTTAAAGCCCGGCTTGACGTGAGGGCACACAAACTGGCAGCTGTTCTTTGTGCAGCCCTATGCCCTTGACGTCCTGTGTTGCTTCTTCGGTTTGCCTGGAGAAGCTAGCACTGGTCAGTGTCGTACCTGGCTGCCTCAGCAGCAGGAATGATGGAAGCATTATGACGGAGATCAGATAGATATTCCAGGTTCTTCTGAATCCAGACCCCTTACCCAAATGCTCTAGACACTGACCCTTCCCGCCCTGTGACCTGTTTCCATTCGTTCTCTCCACCACACCCCCTGTACTTCGGCCTAGATAGGAAACTTCTTATACGGCAGTTTTCTTTTGTGATTTTAAGTTAATTAAAGATAATAACGAAAATATTTTAGGTACGTTGTTAAACTAACTTGATCAGTTGCTTAATCTGGGTGACTTTTCAAACATCTGTTCGAACTTTAAAAACTCCCATTGTGATACGCTGTTTATATACAACCCACTTAACATTAGTGCTTTAAAAAAAAGAGTTGTGTTAGCTCTACTGGAAACATCCCAGTATGTGTTGTATCTACATTGTCAAAGAGAAAATAACAAATGAGTTCTACATTGAACACCCCCAGACAGTGCATAGAGGAAAATAAATACGGGCTGGAGAAAATACTCAAGAAAACGTAAGGTTCAGCAAAATTATTTAACTAGCTTAGAGCAGATGAAGGTATCTTTTGTAGTGAAAATTCTAAGTATGGTTGTAGGAAACAGGAATTATTTCTTGCAATTTTGTGATCTGCAAAGTGCAATCTAGGGTAAAAGATGTTCATGAAAAGTAGTTCGATACGCTTAGTAGCAGAATATTTAAGCAAATCTGATTTGCAGCACTGAAGGATTTAAATATATTTATGTGTTAATATATTCAGTAGCATATTTCACTGTCACTGCTTGTTTTACTACTTTCAACTGTATGTAGAACAACTGCTATTTAATGTCTTGTTTGCTATTCTCATGATTTACTAAGAGCTAACAGACCTGAGTTTTAAAAATAACTGAGAAAACTGGCATGTTGCTCTGCCTCAGTTCCTGCTCTTTCTAGTTCTATAATTGTTATAATAACCTATTAAGATTGTATATAGTGCTACATAGTTTCAACCTCTGAGGATTACCTCGAGTGTCTTGGGAGTGTGTGCACATCTTAAGCATTGGGTTAAAAGAGTGTGGAAGAATAACTGTGTCTTGATTAATTCTATCCAGTGACCTAATGTGATAAATTAATAATGTAGAGAAGAACTGGAAAACAAAGCCCACATACAAGATTACCTCTGAACTAATGCTGTAAGTCTAGTAAACACTAAATGCGGGTCATAAACATTGTCTGTAGGAAACATAAATAATAATAACATCAAAATATAACATTAAGTATTTCCCATAATGCCTGGTATATAGCAAGCCCCCAGTGGGTATTTGTTAAGGAATAAATAAGTGGCATATTACAGAGTCTTTGGGTTGAAATGCATATTTATTAGTTTTCCCTGTAAAGTACCTGAGGAGGATAACATTATGCCAAAATGTTAATGAGGTTTAAAAGCTGCAAAATCTAAGTTATTACCAGGTTAGCCAGCTTCTTTAAGCTGATTCTACAGTTACTAAGTCTATTTAATCCATTCTTTATGAACAACCTGTGTTTTCAATCTTGTTTTATATTTGATATTATCTCTTAGAAAAATTAAATACTTTTTACTGTTTTAAATTCCTAGGCAGAAGATGGCCAAGGAAAGGTGCCTTAAAAAGTCCTTTCAAGATAGTCTTGAAGACATAAAGAAACGAATGAAAGAGAAAAGGAGTAAAAATTTGGCAGAGATCGGCAAACGAAAGTCTTTCATAGCTGCTCCATGCCAAATAATCAGTAAGAGATTTTCATGTTGTCCTTTTGCGTCGCTTTTTAAGTTTATATTTAATACATAATAAAAAAAAAATTTATCCTCTTTCAGCCAACACTTCTACACTGTTAAAAAACTACCAAGACAACAACAGAATGTTAGCTTTAGCTTTGGAAAATGAAAAATCCAAAGTGAGAGAAGCCCAAGATATCATCTTACAACTGAGAAAAGAATGTTACTACCTCACATGTCAGCTACATTCATTGAAAGAAAAACTGGCTTCACAACAAACCAGAGAAACTACTCAGGTATTTTCATTACAAACGTTGAATTTCTCAGGAAAAAATGTGAAATCAGTGAATTGGTAGTTTAGATCAATTATGTTATATAAATTCATTACTGACCGATAGCTCTGTTATTAGTGAATTGATCAAAACATACATGATTGAGGCTTGTGCTTGTATAACTTGGTTCTGAAAGCAGGTAGCAAGACAAGGTACAGAAGAAATAGTTTAGCCTTTTGCACTGCTGGTCCTTCCAACCGTTCAGCTAAGTGAGTCAAATATACGGCAACTCAGCTAAAGGTCTAAAAGTGATAGTTGAAGCGGACTAGTCCAAAAGTTTTAATCAGTGCTATAAATCTTAGCTTTTCTATGTAGTTGTGTTATACCTAGTGAGGTCTTATAAGAACTGCCTTAATTTGGGAAAGGGGGCATTTAAGTGTTTTTTGCAGAGTCCTTTTTACCCACTAGTTGGTTAAATAAGGAAAGGTATACATTAATTCCCAAACAAGAACTATCCTAAACATTTTGCTGTTTATATCTTACTCTTATTCTGTTGTATTCAAGGTTACATGGAAGGGTCAGCCAAAATATAACAGATGTGGAGAAAGCTTGATATTCTTTGTGTCCCACTGCACATTGATCCCAAGAAGAGAGAAATGATGAGCCAGGTTCTCCTTTCCTCTTCCCAGGAAAACTACTTGGGGCAGAGAGAGAGAAAGCAGTGGTGCGTGTCAGGTGTTGACAGAAACAAGTTTACTTTTTTCCTGGGCGGCCATCTGTTTGCTGTGCCAGTGAAGACAGTTGTGTTGGCACTTAGGCCAGGAAACCAGAGAAGAAAGCCAGACCATAGCGATTAGGGGGAGGGTAAAGACTCGGGAAGGGAATTAAAGTCACCTCTCCACTGACAGCAAGAGTCAGTGATGAAAGTGATTCCATATTTTTTCTGTGTATGATATACAGAATGTACATACACATACATATATGCAATATATACATATACGGTATAGCAGAGAATTGGCTATAAAAGATTTGATATAATTTTCCTTTATGTGAGGGTTAGATTATTTAAAACTTTTTGGTTTTTTGGCATTTTTTTCCCCTTCAGAATATAATCTTTCCTAAATTTTTTCTTTTCCTTGTTCAGTCAACTAGTAAGAAAAAAAAAAAATCCCTCCAAAGACATTTGAATGTTCCTTTTCCCTTTCCAAAGTTTTTGGTGAAATCATATATAAAATAGTGAGAAATGAATACCCAATGAGACAATCACAAAAACAATGGGGGAAAAATCTGTTATTGCAGGCCTTTGGACATTTATCAATGCTTTCTGAGTATTGATTAAAACATATTATTAGCTGGGGCGCCTGAGTGGCTCAGTCAGTCAAGCATCTGACTCTTGATTTCAGCTCAGGTCATGATCTCACAGTTTGTGGGATCGAGCCCCATGTCGGGCTCTGCGCTGACAGTGGGTAACCAGCATGGGATTTTCTCTCTCTCTCTCTCTCTCTCTCTCTCCCTCCCCCTCCCCCCACTCCCTCCCTTCCTCCCTTCCTTCCTCTCCCTCTCTCCTTCTCTGTCTTACTCTGAAAATAAATAAATAAACTTAAAAAAAAACAAAAACATTAGTTGCTGGGCAAAAGTGTTCTTAGCATTTAAAACATCAGAGTTTGTTTTCTGCCATACATTTGCTACATGTGTCACTCCTCAACCATCATTCTATACTTGTGCTTACATGTTTATCAAGTCAATTAATCAGTAATGGAGAAACTTAAAATGCTTTAATAAGAAGAATGGGCTGGGGCGCCTGGGTGGCGCAGTCGGTTAAGCGTCCGACTTCAGCCAGGTCACGATCTCACGGTCCGTGAGTTCGAGCCCCGCGTCAGGCTCTGGGCTGATGGCTCAGAGCCTGGAGCCTGTTTCCGATTCTGTGTCTCCCTCTCTCTCTGCCCCTCCCCCATTCATGCTCTGTCTCTCTCTGTCCCAAAAATAAATAAAAACGTTGAAAAAAAATTTAAAAAAAAAAATAAGAAGAATGGGGTTTTTTTGCCTACCACTAGTTAACTTGGTTTATAAGGATTAATCATAAAGTAATTTCTAATAGCCTTTTGTTTCCTAAATTTTATAACAGATCTTTTTAGTAACTTGTTACTAAGTTATATTATTCTGTAGTTAAATATTCTCCTTTATTTACCTTCAGTAATACCACTACTTAAATTTAGAACATGAGCTATATTGAAAATAAATTTAAAACTTTTAACAGGATTAAATTTCTAGTTGTTTTGTTTCTCTTGAACAGTTTTAATCTATCATAACATCAGCATATTATATGTGCATCAAATTTTAAGAAACAACTGAACTGAATTAGAGTGACTTCGAAGGAATCAGTCCAGAACTCTTACCTTCCTAATACAAATCTACAAATCTGCCCGTATCTGCAGTGTGTTCTCTGTCTTCCCTCCTGTCACAGTGGGAGAAGTGTCTCTGCTCCTATCAAAGGCCAAGCCTTTCCCTGTGCATCACATTCCCCTTTTCTCTTGCCTCAAGCACTTTGGTCCTGAAAGTTTGCACTCTTTCAACGGATTTGCCTCTTGACTGACTCATTCTAGCTGTCATACAGATGTTCTTTAGCATCTTTTGCCTTAAGAGGAAAAGAAAATAAATGAAACCTCTCCTGATTTCATATCCCTCTACCTCCTCATTTCTCTGCTTCCCTTCACAGCAGAACTTTAGCAGAGACAAACAGTGCACTTACTGTTTTCACTTCCTCAGCTTCTATTTCCATTTGAACTCCCTCTTATCTGGCTTTTATCCCCATCATTCTGTGGTCACTGTGCCAAGGTCCCCACAACTCCCATATTACCAAATTTAGTGGCCACCTCTCTTTCTTCTTGACCTTTATGTAGTAACATACTTTATAATCTCCTAGCTTTCCTACTACCATATTTTGTAGTTGTCCTGCCTTTCTGACTGTTACATGTCTGTCTCATTTGCTCACTTCTTCTTTAGTTTCAAATGTCAATTGTTCCAGATCCATCTTATCTTACCCCTTCCCATGCTTTAAATACTCTGTTGGGGACTTCCAAATTTATAGCTCAACACACACACACACACACACACACACACACGACTACTACTTGATTTATCCACTGAAATATTTAGAAAGGATCTTAAACATTTTTTTTAACGTTTATTTATTTTTGAGAGACAGAGCATGAGCAGGAAAGGGGCAGAGAGAGTGGGAGACACAGAACCTGAAACAAGCTCCAGGCTCCGAGCTGTCAGCACAGAGCCCAACGCGGGGCTCAAACTCATGAACTGCAAGATCATGACCTTAGGTGAAGTCGGATGCTTAACCGACTGAGTCACCCAGGCGCCCCAAGGATCTCAAACATTTTGTACAAAGTACAACTCTATTTTCCCTCTCCCAGAGATACTGTGTACTTCTGCCTTTGTCTGTCTGTCTTATTCATCTCATAAAACAACCTACCATTTGCTCAAGTCCAAACCAAAGAGGCTTCCCTCTCCCTCACTGTCCCCACTTGCACGCCGATTCAATTTCAGCATCTTTGTTCTCTCAACACCTTCTGCTGGGCTTCACCTCTGTAGCTATGGGACTCGAGTCCTAGCTGATACACATCTTGCTAGATTTACTACAATGACTTCCTAACTCCTTCTTCTCTTGGCCCCTTTCAATCCATGTTCCACATAGTGGTCAGACTGATCTTTTTAAAACTTAAATCATTTCACTTCCCTGCTTAACGATTAAGTAACTTCGTATCACACTTGGACTAAAATCCAAACTCCTGACTGCCAAGGCGCCGTGTTACCTGGTCTCTGAGTACACATCCCCTCCTGTTCTATGAGAGAATTCATATATGTCCAGCCACAGTGGCCTTTCTTTTCTAAACACAGCAAAGCTTTTCCTACATCATGACTTTTGTATTTGTTGTTTCCACCACTTTTTCTTTCCCTCCTCTTTTCAGTGGCTGTCTCCTTTGCATTCTTTAGATTTCAGATGAAGGTCTAAGGGAACCTCCAACCTCAATCACTCTCTGTCACTTCAACTCTGAGTATTTCCTTCATAGCACTTTATCACTATCTGAAATTATGTATCTCTTTCCTTTCATTTAAAATTTTTCTCTCCCTACACTAGAATGTAAGCTTTAAGAGAGTTGGACTTAAATATATTTTTTAGCTGCTAGAGACTTGGTTCCTAGAACAGGGCCTGGCACCATAGTAGACTGTTGGTACATTTTTATTGTTGAATAAATGAATGTTTTGTTATGAATATTTCAGTTGTACCAGTGTTTTCTTTGTTTTCATATATTAACAGAACCAAGAAGTATGTCCCTCTGGAATGGCCAGCAGTAGTGACAACTCCGGGGATTTATTTGTGAAGGATTTACCGTTGGTATCAAATTCATTATTATGATTACTAATGTCAAAAAAGATTTAATTCTCTGACACATTTATGAAAGAAAATTTGCATCGTATTGATTCTTGTGTTTGGAGTCTGATGTTTCTCTACTAAAAATGCATTTAAAAAAATTTGATATGTTGATATTCTGTTACATGTAGCTAAGCCAAAACTTTCTTATATTTACCTTTTTGATGTTAGGATTAAGCTAGCTATTTAAATATAATTGAATTCCTTCAGTTATATTTTTGTGATACCATGTTTTTATTCTAAGAAGGATTGTTTATTCAAATGACGGTATTTTGCCAGTGGTACAAATTGTCCGGTTTAGAAATGATATATAATAAAACATCCCATTTAGCACAGCTATCACCCTATCTTGCTAATCCAGTTCATTCCTAAATACAGTCAGACCCCATACACCCTCTTCCCCTTCTCTCGGATCAAGTACACTTTGTTTATGAACTATTGAGATATAATTACATACAGTGAAGTGTGCAGATCTTAATTATACAGTTCAATGAGTTTGACTAATGTATACACCTGTGGAACCAAAATCTCAATTATGATATAGAGCACTGCTGTCCCTCTAGCTGGGCTTTCTCAGTTTCAGCATTATTGACATTTTAGGCCAGATCATTCTTTGTTGTGGAGGGCTATCCTAAGCATTTTGGGATATTTAGCAGCATCCTTGGCCTCTACCACTAAATGCCAATGCCACTTCCTTCCCCCAGTTAAGACAACCAAAAATGTCTCCAGACAGTGCCATGTATCTGCTGAGGGGATATGATTATCCCCAATTAAGAACTGCTATAAACCATCTCCTCATATCCCTTTCAAGTCTACGCCCTTCTCTTCACAAAAGTAATCACAAAGACAGTTTCTGCCCCCATATTTTTAATCACGAATAGTTTAAAAGCTGTTGAACTGTAACACCTGACAAAATATTTATGTAATGGTCAAAAAGTAAAATGGGGTAATTGAATTTTTATAAGATTCCTGAAATTGTTATTAATTAGTTACCGTAACTCTATTACCTAAACCTGTATTTAAAATTTGATGTCTAGAGGGAAAATTCTCTATAGGAAATAAAGAATAAAATTATAATTAGAATGAAACAGCCAGTAATAGTATTAAAGCATAAAGAAAATTGTTTCATGAGCCACAGGGGGGACAAGATTTTTAAAGAAAATAAATAGTATTAACTTCAGAGGGGTCAGTAGTTAGGCACCATAAAAACCTATGCTACAAAAAAAAAAAAAAAAAAAAAAAAAAAAATCACAGGTCAGCTAATGATGAAATAGGCTGCTAAAGAGTTGAGTAATCAAATTACATTTCTGTAATATATAAGTCAGTTTTGATTGGCTGTTTCTCCAGGTAAATGGAATTACGAGTTATGGCATGTCATCAGGAGTAAGTGTCCAAATAGATAAGGTACTTCCTCCAGTGGAGTTGAATGTCACTTATAACAAATGAGGCTCCATATAATCAGCAGAAAGGTTTTTTTGTTTTCTTTGATACTTAGCAGATTTAGAACAGAATTATGAAATGATACTAAGAGAAAAACTTAAGAAAATCTTAAATTTCTTTTTGTTACATAATTCTTAAATAAATTTGTTTTTCTTTGGCTAGACAAGTTCCTCTTCAGGAAGCTCACCTTCCAGGACAAGGAGAATCATTCCAAATAGAAGGTAATTCAAGTGAAAATGTAAAAATACTAAGGGCAAGATGAGATCTTTGAGAACAAGTAACAATTAAATTTCTCTAATTTTTTTTTTTAACTTTTTAAGTATGCTCATCTGGCATTCTTCTGCTCAAAGCAAATCTGTTTATTTTACACAGAATATAACAGTTTAAAAACATATCTATTTATTTTGTTATCAGCTATCAGCTATAACTGGCTGCAGTTTACTGAGCCCTACTATTTGCCAAGCTGTGTTAGCCATTTTACATTATCTCACTTAACCCTCACAACAACCTTAGAATATAGGTACAGTTGGTCCCATTTTATATATACTCAAAGTAAAGTATCACACAAAAAGTAGCCCAAAAGGTAAGAGCTAGCATTTAACTGAAAGCCGACCTCCAAAGCTATGCCATTCTTTCCATTTCTAAATTGGCGTGTCCCTGTTCTCAATGCTTTGAAGAAGGGATGGCATTTGAATAAGCAGAACCTTTCCCTACAAATGCTTACTATATTTCTTACCTGAAAGGCTTTGTAATTATTGCAGTTTTACTGGGATTTCAAAGAACATCTTAGCTCCCACTTTCTCAGTGTACTGGTCTTACTTTACTTTACTTTAGAATATGAGGTTCTCTCCCACTGAATCCTATACACATAGATACATATAGCCAACTACTTTTTCTTTAAACCTTTAAACTAGGGACACAGAAAACCCCCAGTTAGAACATGTTTGGACGTTATGTAAGATTCTTTCACAAGTCAGATAGAACCCATCAATTGATCATTGCCAAATAAATTAGATGGTAGTACTAAGTTCCCCAGATTTTTATTTGCTTATAGCAAATGCGGAACTACAAACTGACCTTTCATTTATTTCATTTTTAATTTTGAGTTCTAAGATTACTGAATTTAAAATTTCCATAAAGTTAAACTATTTTTTTCTCATTTATCTTTTAAATTCTCAGAGCAAATACCTATTTCTCAAGACAGACTGGGATTTGGTTTGAATTCAGATGATGATAAATCTACTGATAATGTCTTACCTAGAACTGTATCTGTCCGTCGCAGTTTAAAGAAACATTTTAATAATCTGTGTCAGTTCAATACCTTGGATGATTTTGAAATCAGTCATTTCTCAGAGCAGTCCTTTGAATTGGAAAGAATTAGATGTGTAGACCCAGTAGTAAATATGCACTTACCTGAAAACGTGGAACAAAATGTTTGTCAATGGAATAATGATCAAATTAACTTATCACCAAAGCTGATTGACCCAGAAAGATCCACTAAAACAAAAGAAGACATCTTAGAGTATAAACCTGAACAAACTAAAAATAAGCGCAGAGGTGCACAAGGAAGAAAAGGAGAAGAGAAAAGAAAAGGTAACAGAAGGAAAAAATCAAAACCTGTATCAAAGTATAAAGCGAGCAAAAGTGAAAATAAAAAAACTGTCTCTAAAGAAAAGTTGGATGAATCTGTCACTTCCAGTGATACCTACAATTTTAATTTGGAAGAGGGAATTCATCTCACTCCTTTCCGACAAAAAATTAACAATGATTCTAACAGAGGAGAAAACACCAATGAACCTGAAGTGAGCGTCTGTGAATCAAGTGATTCAGGAGATGACTCTGATGACCTCTATTTGCCCACTTGCAAGTACAGTCAAGGTCTCTCCAGTGAACCAGCTGGGAGCCCAGTCAGCAGGCCGAGACCTAAAAGAGCGCTAAAACACAGGGCTGAAAAAGAGATAGAGGGCACTAAGCTTATAACAACTCCTATCAGTAAGTGATCTACTTGTTTGCCTGCATTTTTAATGTTTATAATAAATGATCATTCCTGATGCTTATAGGCTATACTTACCATCTGTTTCTCTGGGGGAGGTTAGAGACTTGCCATCTGTCTCTTTGGGGGTAGTTACAGTCTGATTAAACAATGGCGGGTTGGGGGTGGAAATCACAATTGTATGGCTATGACCTACTTTAAGCTAATTTAAATCTTCTTTAAGAACAATACTACTTGTTATGGAGAAAGTATTTTTAACTTCAGTAAATGAAGACTTCCAAAGTAAGAAAAACTTTTTGGTGGAGTTAGGTTGAATTAAAATATCTTTTATACACTCACCTGACACAGGTCTTTGAAAATGAAATCAAATTTGAATCCAGTGACCTATCATTTTAATGGCTTTGCTTCATATTCAGTTTGACAGGAACCATGATTTTATTTTATTTTTTTTATTTATTTATTTTTTTAGGAACCATGATTTTAAATTGATTCGTTCTTGTTAGTGAAAGGTGGCCAAACACTAAGCCAAACTTTTCCCTCAGTTATTGGGCTTAGTTTTTTGTAAGACATTTGTAAGACATCTAAAAACTGTGGCTTAGAAAATCTTGCTTTTATAAATCAAAAGTAGCATGGTTCAAAAGTTGATGATAACAGCCTGCATCTGCCCACAAAGATTCTCATCTGGGAAATTGTTATTGTGGTAAAACTAATATATGTGGTCAGGTTGTAGCATTCCCAAAACATCTGATCCTCAGGATAACTTTATAAAGTGCAGGTGTAAAACAAAATAATAAATAAATAAAGTGTAGGCATCAACATCCTTATATTGTTTATAAGAAAACTGAAAGCCTAAAAAATTTAAATGACTTCCCAAAGTTAGGCAGTGGTAGTATGCAACCATGTTTTGTTTTTTCAAATATGCTATAATAATGTTAATGTAAATCAAGATTGGCAAAATGTTGATAATTACTGAAGCTGGGTAACTGGGGGTTCATTATATTGTTGTCTCCATATTTGTCTATACTTGAAATTTTACATAATAAGTTTTTAAAAGAAAAAAATTACACTCTAAGATAGTATTACTCAGAATTTTATCCCCAGATCAGCATCACCATTACCTTGAAACTTCTTAAAAATTCAGAATCTCAGGCCATACCCTTGAATCAGAATCTGCATCTTTTTCACAAGTTCCCTGGGGGATTTGTAGATACATTAATTTTGAGAAGCAATATTCCAGAATATAGCAAGTGAGTAGATGTTGCTTAACCATATTTTCCAAACTAAAAGTTGGAATAATTAGTATAGTGCAATATGTGTAAGTGGAGACAAAAAAGACAGTATTTGAAACCTAGATAACTCTGGAGAGCATGGTTGCCAAAAATAGTCATTTTACAGTTATAATTTCATTTGTATTGGAAAAACAACTTCTTTTTAGAGCTGTTTGAAGAATTGTCTTGCAGTGTTCTTTGTGTGCTGGGTACCTGACACCCAATATAGATCTAGCTCCAAAGTAGAATAACTTGAATGTTTATGATAGGAAAAACATTGGTAACTTTTTAACATACTAGCTTTACCAGAGGGAATCCCCTTCCTGCTGGTTTACACAGAGACTATGATGTAGAATTCTCATTTATTTAATAAAGTGAGTTTACATAGCTTTTTTAAGACTATAGGAAGCCACTTGATAAATTATGGTTATGAAAAAGATGGAGGCCTTGATGATTCTACAAAGCAAGATGGAACTAAAATGAAATTCTGTGATTTAAGGTAATTCATTATGCCCAAGCTATCCTAGAAGAATTTTAATTTTTTTAAGGAATTTAAGTCTTAGGAAAAAAAAAAGAATTTTAAGTCTTAGTAACCTGTTGTGTTAGCTCTTCACATCTATAGTAATTGATATTTCAGTGTTATCTGGGATGGAAAAATGATGACTGGGTTAAAAAAATCTATATAATACAATGCTGGATTTGTATATGTTTAGGATCTGTAATTGCATATGATTTTAGTTCCTGCTTTGTTTTTTTTTTTTAATTTGGAACCATATTCAGTAAAAGTTGTTTTCGTAGGTGCACTACCTAAAACTCACCGCTCACCTCATTTTAGCCTGAAGGATATCACCAATGCTCCCTTGTATCCTGTATTGAAAGTCAGAAAACTTTCTCTTTCTCCAAAAAAGAATAAAGAAAGCCCAGCAGTGTCTCTACCAAAGCGTAGGTGCACAGTCAGTATGAACTATAAGGAACCCACACTCATTTCGTAAGTATTTGTGGGAACCCACTTTTAATGATAAATGTCGGGGGTGAGGGGAGTAAGGTTTGGAGCTTTGTTCAAGAGTGAGTCTTATTTGAAATATCAAATTTTGATTAAAAACTGAAGTGGGAATATTAACACTGGCATATGTCACAATAACTTTATACTGAAGGGTAAGATGGTGCTGGGATGCTTATAATTATTCCTAAGAGTTCTTCTTATCCTTCTAGGAAACTGAGAAGAGGAGACCCTTTTACAGATTTGTGTTTCTTGAACTCTCCTATTTTCAAACAGAAAAAGGATCCCAGACGCAGCTCTAAAAAAAGTATGAAGCAAATACAGTGAAGTGTTTTCTGGATGCTGTTTAAATTCATCCTACTACACCTCCTATCTCTCCAAGAGAGAATCTGTAAGATAGTCTACAAAAGGGTTGAACTATTGCCATGGAATATTCTTTGACTGAACCCTAGATCATGAAAATGTCTTCAAAACTATACTTCAAATGTGATGCTTTTTTCTCATACCACTAATAAATTTGGTTTATTTTTTCTTTTAAATAAAAATAACCGGACATAAGCCCAATTTCTTAAACTGCCTAAAACTTTTAATTTTACTCAAAATGTATCTTCTGCGAAAGTAAAATGTGAGATAATGAACTGATGGTTGCTTAGGTTCTGGGACTAGGCAAGTGACTAGCTCTAAATACCAGGCTATCTAGGTGTATACTGTTCAGTGACCCGTTAGCGAATTATTATGTTTGGACTTTCAGGATAGTTCCTTAGTCGTTACCATAGTAGGGTCAGTGCAGATATAGAACATTTCCATCACTATAGAAAGTGATTGCACTATTGGGCAATTTGAAGTTTGGTGTTTTTATACTTTTAATATTTCTGTATTCTTACTGTTTATCCCTAGACTGTTAAGAATCGTTTTGTATGTTAACATTTTACATGAATGTTATATTGTACGTACCTTTTTGCAACTGACTTTTACTTAACTCACCAATGTTTTTGAGATTTATCCATGTTGGCAGATGTAGATTATTTTCATCGTACAGTTATATAAATAAACTAGACTTACTATTTTGAGAGATAATTTGCTTCCACTATTTCCATTATTACAAATTAGTGCTGTGGTGAATATTCTGCATTCTTGCACACATGTGAATAAGTTTCCATGGAGTGGATACCTAGAAGGGGAGCTGCTCTCTAAAGTGGTTGTACCAATTCTCCTGACACAAGGAGTGTTATCACTCTCCTACGAGCAATTTGTAAGTTCTAGTTTCCCCACACAGTATCACTTGGCATTATTGGACATAAAATTACCTAAGCCAATGAATGTCAAATGGCTTTTGTTTTACTTATGAGATATTATCTCATTGAGTTAATTACTTGTGAGAATTCAAATATTGGTCACTCATTCCTTCTATGAATTATTGTATATTTTGCCCACTTTTCAACTACAGTGTCTTTTTCTTAATAGAATAGGGCTCTTTATATATTCTAGATAGTATTCCTTGTCTTTATTTACATGGGCTATAGCTTTCTTTTTCTACTTTATTTTTACCTTATGTTTTTTGATGTTCAAGAATTTTAAATATTAATATCCTCTGTCACCTTTTTGCTTAAAATTTTTCTCTAAAATTTGTTTTGCTTTTTCACTTAGGTCTTTAACTGTGTAGCATTTTGTGGAATGGGGATCTGATTTTATTTTCCATGAGAATAGCCCATTGCGTTAGCAATATTCATTGACTAATCTATCTTTTCCCCACTGATGAATACCACTCTCTTTGTCACACACCGAAATTTCTTTCTATTGGTTTATTTGTCTAGCTATGGTACTGTATAATCACTTTTTTTTTTTTTGGTTTGGCGATAAAATATAGTATCATTTTGATCATTTTTAAGTGTATAGTTCAGTAGCGTTATGTACATTCACACTGCTGTGCAATCATCAGTTACCCGTCTCCAGAACTTTTTCATCATCCCAAACTGAAACTCTGTACTCATTAAATAACTGCCCATTTACTCCACCCCACCCCATCTCTTAGTAACCACTATTCTACTTTATGGCTCTATGAAATTGACTATTCCAGGTACCTCATATAAATGAGTATATACAGTATTTCCCCTTTTGTATCTGGCTTATTTAACATAATGTTTTATCCATGCCATAGCATGTTTCATACATGTCCACACATACCAGAATTTCATTCCTTTTTAAGCCTCAGTAGTATTCCATTGGATCTATGTACCACATTTTGTTTATCAATGGGCATTAGGGTTATTTCCACTTTTTGTCTATTAGAAATAATGTTGAGGGGCGCCTGGGTGGCTCAGTCAGCTGAGCATCCGACTTCAGCTCAGGTCATGATCTCACAGCTCATGAGTTTGAGCCCCACGTTGGGCTCTGTGCTGACAGCTCAGAGCTTGGAGCCTGCTTCTGATTCTGTGTCTCCCTCTCTCTCTCTCTGCTCCTCCCCCACTCATGCCACATCTCTGTCTCTCAAAAATAAATAGACATTAAAAAAAAGAAAGAATGTTGCAGTGAACATGGATGTACAAAGATCTGCTTGAGATCCTGCTTTTAATTCTTTTGGATATGTATCCAGAAGCAGAATTGTTGATAATATGGTAATTCTATATTTTGATGAACCAACATGCTGTTTTCCAGAGTGGTTGAACCATTTTACATTCCCACCAGCAATGCACAAGGATCCCAATTTTTCCATATCCTTGCTAATACTTGTGGGTTTTTTTTCAGAATACCTATCGTAATGGGTGTGAAGTGACATCTCATTGTGGTATTGACTTGCATTACCCCAGTGATTAATGATGTTAAACATCTTTTCATGTGCTTATTGTCCATTTATATACCTTCTTCAGAAAAATGTCTCTTCGAGTCCTATTCCCATTTTTGAATTGGGATGTTTTTGTTGTTGAATCTTAGAGGAGTTCCTAAAACATTCTAGATATCAATCCCTTATCCAATCTGTGATTTGCAAATGTTTTCCCCCATTATGTGGGTTGCCATTTTACTGTTGGGAGTGTCCTCTGGTGGACAAGTTTTTAATTTTGATTAAGTCTAATTTATCAATTTTTCCTTTTGTTTTCTTTGCTTTTGATTGTTATACTTAAGAAATCATTGCCTAATCCAATGTCATGAAGTTTTTCCCATATCTTTTCTTGTTAAGTCACAAGTTTTTTTGTTTTTTTTTTTAATTTTTTTTTTTCAACGTTTTATTTTTTATTTTTGGGACAGAGAGAGACAGAGCATGAACGGGGGAGGGGCAGAGAGAGAGGGAGACACAGAATCGGAAACAGGCTCCAGGCTCTGAGCCATCAGCCCAGAGCCTGATGCGGGGCTCGAACTCACGGACCGTGAGATCGTGACCTGGCTGAAGTCGGACGCTTAACCGACTGCGCCACCCAGGCGCCCCAAGTCACAAGTTTTTTTAAAAGACATGGATGGAATTGATTTCTTAATATTTTAGGAATTTTTTTATACCTATGATCATAAATTTGCCTATATCCTTTCCCATATACATTTTTGGTAGCAAGGCCACTCTTAAAATTAGTTGAACCTTCCTTTTTTGCTCTCTGGAACAAATGGTACCTATTCACATTTGGTAAAACTTTGCAATTGAAACTATTTTATCCTGTGCTTTTGTAGGCAAATTTTTGTCTTGATTTTTTTAATGATTATAAGAGTTCTCTAATTCTTGATTCTATTCAGTTAAATTACATTTTTCTTACAAATTGCATATTTCTATGTTTTATTTAATGGTATATTATTTAAAAAACTTTTTTCAGGGGCGCCTGGGTGGCTCGTTTGGATAAGCGTCTGACTTCGGCTCAGGTCATGATCTCGCAGTTCGTGGGTTCAAGCCCCGCGTCAGGCTCTGTGCTGACAGCTCAGGGCCTGGAGCCTGCTTTGGATTCTGTGTCTCCCTCTCTCTGCCCCTCCCCCGCTCATGCTCTGTCTCTCTCTCTCTCTCTCAAAAATAAAGGATTAAAAAAAAATTTTTTTTTTCAAATCTCTATACTATGTAGTTACATCACTTTTTTGTTACCTATTTGTATCTACTTTCTTTTGTACTTAATCCTTTTTGCTAGTTGTTAATCTTTTCTTATTTTGTTAATCTTTTCAAAGGACCAGCTTCTGTTGATCCTCATTTTCTGCTTTATTAATTTCTGCTTTTGTTATTTTGTTTGTTCATATTCTTTGCGCTTATGCTGTCATTTTTCTAACTTCTGTTTAGCTCCTTGATGTCTAGTTTTCCTCATATATATTTTTTAAGATTTTATTTTTAAGTAATCTCTGCTAACATGGAACTCGAACTCACAACCCTGAGATCAAGAGCCACATACTCCAACTGAGCCGGCCAAGCACTCCTACTCTTAAGTTTTTAAAAGCATTAATTTTTGCCTCTTAGTTTTACTGCGTGACCTCTTTAGTGTTATTTGTATATATCTCAAGTTTGATTCCAAGTATTTTCTAACTTTGTGATTTCTTTTTTGACTTATTATGTAAAACAAAATTTTTTTCATACCAAATTGGAGATTTCTATTGTTATTGTTCTTTGTTAAGTGAGTTCTACTTCTTTTTGTAATACATCAAAAAATTTATTTGTATGGTGTTGATTCTTTGGTATTTAAATCTTTTGTGACTAGTAAAAGTTGTTGAATTTTGCAAATGTTTAACTGTATATCCTTGAACATAAATTCTCTAATTGTTGAATGCAATGTTGCATAATGTTTTCAATCTTTTTTTGTATCTTTACCAATTTTGCCTGATTCATCATTTGCTATACACACACACACACACACACACCCACCCACCACCTTCCACAGAATTTCTGGATTTATTGATTTTCCTAGTGAATTATTACTTTTATCACTGTTGTAGTCACTCTTTTTCCTTCGTAATGCTGTCTTAATGTCTGATATAGCTAAGGCAACTTATATATGGTTAATATTTGCCTGTGTATGGTTAGTATTAGCACTTTTACTATATCATTTTTCCATTTTTTTAAGCCTTCCTATGTTACTGTTTTAGATATATCTCATTAAAGAGTATATTAATAGATTTTGTTTTTGGTCCAAATTGAATTGTCACCTTTTACCTAACAAATTCTGTCCATTTACATTTATTGTGATAACTGCTATAATGTGATTTATTTCCAGCAAATATTTTTATGTTATCTACTCTGCCTTATTTTCTTTTTTCTCTTAACTGTTTACCATTGGATTAGTGGAGTTGTCTTTATTTCTACTTTTATTAAGTGGTTATCCTGAACTGGCTTAATTTGTATACATGACTTCCCAAAGCCAAGTTTCTGAAGAATATCTTTTGGAAGTCATTTTGACGAGGGTCAAATTCTCAGTCTTTTTTCTACAAATGTATTTAATTTTGCCCTCACTCTTGTTGAGTGTAGGTTGACAATTCCCCCAACATTTCATTTTCTTATGGACTTAATTTTGCTGTTGAGAAGTCTTGACAAATTTTTTGCTCATATTTTGGTAATTTATCTCAAGCATTTCATATTCTTGACTTATTGTAAATGTATTTTTAAAATTCATTTTCACCTGTTTGCTGCTAGTTTATAGAAATGTAGTTGCTACTAGTTTATGGAAATGCAACTGATTTTCATATATAGACCTTGCTAAATTCACTCACCAGTTCTAGTATTTTTTTTTCATAGATTCCTTAAATTGTTTTTATGTACATGACCTTATAGTCTACAAATAAAAACAGTTCACTTCTTTCTGTCTTGTGTGCCTTTTCTCCTTACTGCATTGACTAGAACCTCTGCTATAATGTTGAATAGATGTGATGAGAGCAGACATCTTTGCCTTTATCTCAACCTTGGAAGCATTTGGTCTTTCAGCATTACTGTGATGTTGGCTATAAGTTTTTATTGATTACTTTTACCCTACTGAGGAAGTTTCCTTTTATTCTTTGCTAGTTTTTTTTTTTTTTTAAGGAATGGGTGTTGAACTTTGTCAAATGCTTTATCTGCATCTATTGAGATGAACATTTTTTTTATGCTATTCATATAGTTAATTACATTAGTGGATTTTCAGTGTTAAATG